CTTGAGATTCTGCTCCCAGGTTCCTCCAGCACTTTGCTATACCAAGAGGGTCTTCCTGGGCTACGCCAGGGTCTGTGCCAAGCCTATGTGAGTGGGGGGTTCTGTGCTGGGTGCCCCTACCAGAAACAAGGCTCTACCAGAGAGAATATACATGACATGGAACTGCCCAACATAAAAAACCTTAGGAAAACTGAAGATGCTGCAATTTTCAAAGTCTAAATTCATAGTTGGAAAAGACACAGGAAATATTAATGCCGCATTTAAGTTCGATTAAATAGTGGGGAAAGTGCACGAGCATTTACCGTGGGGCTCAGCACACTTGTTCTGTGAAGGACTGGGTAGCATTAGCCTCGCATGGCATAGTGTCTATCACAGGTACTCAACCCCGTGGATGTAGCACAAACACAGCCGTAGACAACACGTAGATTATGCCAATGGCTGTGCACCAATAAAGCTCATTTACAAACGCCAGCCCGGTTTAGGCCCGTGGTTGACATTATGCTATCGTTTGTGTGTGAGGGACGGAAACACAGGAGACTAATAGTGATCTCCCCTGCAGAGGACCTGTGGGTGCCTGGGGACTTGGAAAGGAGATGTCCTTCCACTGGTTATCCTTACATATCTTTGGAATCACGTATTGGGTTTATCACCTATTAAAAAAATGAAAAAGCATGGGACTTCTACATATGGTGTATTTGCAGACAGCGCCTGTGTAGACATGTCTGCTCTCACTCTCGCCATCTTTTTCCAAGTGTCCTCAAGCCAGACCCACAGGACAAGCCCCATCGCAGCAGCAGGACGGCCCTCGCAATGCGTCTCCCTCACTCTCTTTACCACTTTGCTCAGCCTTCTCTTCCCTCAAGGTGGTGGAGGCTGCCTCCTGCAAGGAGCCCTCCCAGCAGCGCAGAAATGCTGGCCTCACTCATCCTTCCTGTCAGTACAGCTCCTTGAGCCACCATAAAGGGAAGCAGAGGCATCATACACAGGAAAGAAGACACAGCATCTGGAGTCTGGAGGGGCCCGGTTCCCATCAGTGCTGGTTCTGCTGATTTTGAGCCCATTTCCCACCTCACCAGCAGTTCCCAGGACCCCTTCATAAAGCGTGGGAAGCACCATGTGCATAGAGATCACTGAGCCCACCTCCCCAGAGACACTTCACCACACAGTCTGTGCACTTCATCCTTGCAGCCCCCTGACAGGGCATACAGCAGGCACTCGACGGAGGGAAAGAAACCGGTGGGAGCAGCAGAGCACCTGCCTGTCACCAAACCAGGGAGGCTGAGCAAAGAAACCTGTCCCAGCTCCTGTAAAAGGTATTCTGTGTTTTCCACTGTGTCTCAGATGCAGTCTGCTCCCACCAGATTGGACCTATTTCTAGTGCCAAACAGCTAAGACCTCACCTAGGTAATTTGCTTTATAAAAATACAAAGTAAGTCAGCCTCATTAAGAGGGATCTTCAGGAAGGCCCTTCTCGGCAGAATAGGTCAATCTAAAGCCAAATCTGGCAAACCTCAGTGCTCATCTGATTCATCCCCACATTTTACAGATGGGGGTTATGGGAGGAGAGAGGGCAAGGAACTTGCCCCAAACCCCATGGCCAGAGCTCCGAGTCCTCAGAGAAAGGATCTGGGACCCAGAACAACGCCATCGATCAGGACAGGTTAGAACAGGTGGTGGGTAACACACATCCCCCAGAGCTCAGTGACTACACCTGTTGGTACACCAAGTGTCCATCACAGGTTGGCTGCAGCTGTCTACATCCTCTTCAGGCTGGGACCCAGGTGCATGAAACAACAGTCTCCACTGGGAACGTGGCCGACGCTAGGCCAGAGGGAGAGGACAGGTGAGCCACACGCTGGCTCTGGGAGTGTCTGTCTTGGGACACAGGCTGCCTCTACTCACCTGTCATTGACCGTGCTCGAGCCCAACAGCGCAAGAACCTACAATCCTACTGTGGGGAGGGAGGATGGAAATTTTGGCAAGGAGACATCCACTCCATCAAGGATGCTCAGCTAACAACTGCCAGTGTCGGGACAGAAAGAAAGGCTCAAATATACAAGGATGCACGTGTTCTGAAAATAAAATAAAAAATACTCCGGACAAATTAGAAGTGAATCAAAATAAAGAACTCAGGAACTGGTATATAAGAAACAGGTGAGCGATGAAGCCGGCGGAAAGGGGGGTTGAGCCGAGTATTTTTTGGTAACGTGACCGAAGTTCAATGTCACCATTAAAAGACCCTTGAGACAGGCACATGTGAAAAGTCTGTAACCTAGATGTTCCAACTAAACCCGAGACGAGAA